AATGCCGTGGAAAAAACCCCTCTGCTCCCCAGGCAGCTGCTCCGGGTGTCACCCGGCTGGTGACACCTAAAGCAGTGGCAATTACATTACATAAGAAATGGAATTCACAGGCAGTGTTGCCCCCTCCCAGTATGTGACAAAGCTGTACAATCTGATTTTTTTTTTGTTTTTTTTTCAAAGTGAATCTTTTATGCCAAGCTGACAGTAACTCCCCATTTTAATGCAGGGTACTAGAACTAGACTTAAATGCCAGGTATTTCAGGGTACCCATTTCCCTTCCATTCCCTTTAAATAAAATTTTCTTTCCCTTCCATTCTCTTTAAATAAAATTTTCTTCCCTTCCATTCTCTTTAAATAACATTTTCTAAGTTCTTTTCCCTGCCTCCCTCCACAACTGTTCCCCACAGAACCAGCTCAGAAGCTCAGCTCAGTAACCACCATACAAAAAGAATCTATGGTAGAGGGAGGAGTGCAATTGTAAATTCACCAGTGGAGATGTTGCTCTGTGCTGAAAGTGCTTTTTAGCAGGTGTGCACTTCAAAATAAAATCACAGCAATCAATACACGAGAACAGCACCTGCCTCCCTGCCAGCGCCTTTCCACAGAAACCTTCAACACAAAATTTGTATTTTCCCCACCAAAGCTGAGCTGAGGGCACTTATTCCACTGAAGACATTGGTTTCTCATTTAAAAAAACAACAGAGGGTTTTGAAGTTGCTGGCCCTGGAGCTGGGAATATGGGCAGGGTGTGTGTCAGGCTGCCTTGGAAGCGCTCACAAAAATCAGCTCCAGCAGCCGGGCCAGGACACCACCCAGCCAGCAGCCTGTGCCTTTCCTTTGTGGTTGCAGAGCTGCTCCCAAAGCCAAGCTTTCATTCCACACAGGAGGGAGGAAAAAAAAAAAAAAAAAAAGGAAAAACCCAAAGCTTCGGCCCATCCAAGTCTAGACCAGCTTTTTATACAGCTGGAAATTGCATAGTTTCAGTGTTCAGCTATAGCATGGACAGAAACACTCTGAGCCCCACTTGTGCCTAAACTGATCCCTGAAAAGGTGCCACTTTTTAGCCTATGTAGGAGCAAAATTCATCCAGAAGATGGACCTGATGCTGAGATGTGTGCTGATGTGCAGCCAGGCTTGCAAGGACCCAACTGCACGAGCAGGGAGCTGCCTGCTTGAGCAGGAGGCAGAAAGAAGAGCATCAGAGGGGTTTAAATGCAGCCAGGAACAGCAGGGCTGCTGGGAAATGCACAGGAGACTCCCAGGCTGGGTGCCATCCCCCTTCACAGACTCTGGAATGCAAAGTCATCTTCTGGGCAGAGAAATAAGGCACAACCCCCCCAAAAAAGCCAATCTGAACACCTGAGCTGAGTATCAGCAGTCAGAGCACAGAGCCACTGCAGAACAGCCCAACTCCTTGAGTTTTGAGTCTGAAAAGTACAGAGCTGCATAAAACACAGCAGATGAGATTTGTTAGTTCTGGCATTTCACACCTGCACTCAGATTTTGCAAGGACAGCAGCTCCTTGCAGATATAGGTGCAATTATAATTTTCATTCACATTGATCTCTGATTGAGACACAGATAACTTGGAACACCTGGGAACAGCTCTGCTGCCAGATTCCCCCATTGCCCTCACTCCCCCAACTCCCTCTTCTCTTTGTTATTAAAAATTTCCACCATAAGAAACATATTTTTTAAACACTCAAGTATGCAATATCACTCTTAAAATCTTTTCCTTATTTCACAATGTTTTTTAAAGGCATAAATAAAGCCAAATAATTTTTATGAGTCTGACATCGTGGGTTGTTTTGTTCAGTTTTAACTCCAGTGCTCAGGAACTCCTGATGAATAGTTGAGAGAACTATGCACAAACCAGATCTCATCTGCAATTTAAAGAAAACAAAAAACTCTCCTCCTCCAGCATATAAATCATCTAAAAGCAACAGAAAATACTTAGCTGCACTTCTCAAGCAAGTAACATCTTCAGAAGTTTTTTGTGCCTCTGAACACCTGCTTGATTTTTGGATTTTTTAATACCCAAACCAGATTATTCTTCAGTGGTTAAATAGCATTGTACAGCAGTTAAATAGTTTATTACCCAGCTCCTTCCAGAGAGAGGTATTTCCAGAACATCTGCATGAGTAAAGCAAGAGGCTTCTTGCATAACTGCTCTAGTGGGGGGAAAAAAAAATCTCCTGAAGGCTTTTTAATATGAACTTTCATAATTCAAGTTCTTGGGAATTCATACCAAACCAGGAACAATGGATTCATTAAATAGTTCACTTTCACCTAATGCTTTCTGCATGCTTCACTCCTGAGCTATAAAGCAGCAAGCAACCACCTTTCCATAATGCCTGTGGTCAGGGGAGAGCTTTCCATTTGAAGTCAGAGGAAAAACCCTTCCCTCTTGTGCAGGTTGTGAGCCAAAAGAAGTTTTATGAACTGAGGTTTGTCCTCCCACCCTGTTCAATAGCTTAGAAGTGTCTGACTAAGAAAAATTCAGGAACTTGAGGATTAAAATAAAAAAAAAAAAAAAATAAAGGAGAAAAAAGGCTTGAAGCTTCTAGAAGTACATACTTCATTTCATTTTCACTTGACATGTCTTATTAAACCTTAGAATTGGGCAAAAAGCCATATCCCTAGTCCTAGCCAGAAGCAAGTCTTGAGACACAGAGAAAGATTAGCATGTGCTCAGTTAAGACCTGCTTATTTATCTTGCAAATGTTTTTACTGAATTAAATAAACCCATCCCTGACCATTTTATCACACAGGGATTTCTGCTTCTTTGAGACAACAACCTCCCCCATTTGTTTTTCTGAAGACAACACCTCAGTCTGTTGCCTGTTTCCCCAACACGAGGGAGAAGATGTTCCCTAAGGCATTACAACTCAGTCCTCTTTCCTGAGGAAGACTCCTCAGATCTTGAAAATATCCCTCCCCAGCTCTGTTTCTTTTCGCCTTCTGAAGGATTAAAACCTGGAGTTACATACACTGGCCTCTGAATGAATTTCCACAGGAACATCAACAGCCTCACTTCACCTTCCACACACATGACCAAACACTTTGTTGTGTCTAAAACAAAAAGTTCTTGGCCTTTTAATTTCATTACCAACTTTAAAACTCTCTAATAACACCCTCCTGCTGCATTTCTGATCAAGAGAAATATCAACATGCATATAAAGAGTGTACTCAAAGTTGACACCCGTATCTATTGATAAGCACAAATATTCCACGAGGAAATACTCAGAAACAAGTGCTCAAACAGCCCTAAGCTCTAAGGAACCACTGCTCCCTACCCCAATGCCCACAGAGCAGCTCAGGAACAGCAACTGGACACAGGGACACTTGTCCCATGCCAACAGGAATTGTTTCACTCCTCTCCAAAGACAACCTGGATTTTACTTGTCTGTTGCATTTTACAGAGAAAATCAAGGGGATGGGATGCTTGGAAAGTTTGGTTATGATGACCAGATGTTCTCTGTCCTCAGGGCTGGACATACACCAAAGGATGAACACCCCACACTCCTTGCACCCCTTCACTGCCCAGAGCACCCTCAGCTTTGGGGCTGCACAAGCTGAGCAGGGTCACTTCACCTCCCACCTTGCATTATACACATTTATTGCACCAGAATAAATGCCTTCTATAAAAAAGATGCTGTAGAAAACCACGAGATTGTAAATACTAGATTTATGACGTTTGCAATTATATTTAATAATGTATTGTTTTTACAAAGCAGTTGAAATTAAAAAAAAGAAAAAAGAAAAAACAAGGAGTAGCAAGAACCCCCCTGTCTGCTGTCTAGCATCAGTAATCCTCACTGGTTTGTTTACCATTTATAAGGAAAACATCATTCAAGCTGGCTTGTCACAGAGACTCTTCTGCAGTAACTGACCTTTGGTGCAAATCCGTGGCATTTGTCAGATCACCTGTGCTTCTTCTGAAAGTCCCTCTGCCTAAATTCAAGGTGTCTGCCAATGATAAAACCCCTCCTCTCTAAATGACTGGAAGGGAAATCTGGTAACATGTCTGAGGAAGGTAAACATCCTCATCTTACAGAGGTAACATCAGCATAGACAACTAAATTTGCCAGAAACCCCACATGTCACAATCCCAGATAAATCACCTTGCAGACTGCATTCCCTCTCTACAGAAGAGTGAAAATTTAGTGATCATGCTGAAATTGCCCCTCTCTCTGCCCAATCTAAGAAGATCAGCCATTTTTCTGGTTTAGGATCAGCCAATGCGTTGCAATTTGGAAACAGTGTACCTCAAACAAACAGAAACCTGTTTTAAGTGAGCAAGTGCACTGAGGCAGCCGCAGAGGAGTGGCAGTGCCAGGCCAGCTGCAGGCAGTGGGACAGGGGGTGGCATCAAGCCTGCTGGTGCCAGGGAGGGACACCAGGGGTGCTTTAGCCTCATCCCCCCGCGGACGGGCCCCGCCGGCCCGGCCTCCAGGAGCACGTCCCTCCTCCTTCTCCAGACAGGGGGTTGTAGCCTGCAACACACAGGAGAGAGACCCACTCTTAATATTCATCCTCCACAGCCCTTCACCAGCACACAAAAAACAGCAAAACCTGATCTCATAATATCCACACCTCGCTCACACTTCACACACGCAGCATTTTAGGGAAAATGAAAGCACAGAAAACACGCAGACTTGAGAGGGTTTCTTTCCATTGCTAAACACTTGTGGTTTAATTTGATCAATTTTGATTAAATGAAATTGAAATGAATTACCATTTAATTTTTCTAAGTCTGCACTAAAGCTGCAGTGCAGCAAGAGCAGCTCAGAGTAAACTCTGCAGAGTGTCTGTTCTGCAAGAGCCCAACAGTCAGGGACTTAAAACAATCCTTCATTCCAGTCCTGCAAGGAATACTCTGAAGGTCAAAAGGTAAATCCACTCATTAACACTGCAAAGTATTTTTTTAGAGCATTTAAAAGGCAAACATAGGCAGTAAGGCAAATACACTTTAGCTGAACATCCTAATGTTGTAACCAGGGGAAACTTCATCTCAGGAGAACACACTCAGAAAGTTACACCTTGGCAAACATCTTCAATTTGTTCTGCACAAACCTAAGAACCCAAATCCCAGCAGCACTGCTGACCAGGGAGGTTCCAAAACAACCTGCTCCACTGAAACTCCCAGCACCTTCAAATTTGAAATTTGTTTTTCTCATACCAAAGCCAAGTTTTGCTTTCTAGCTTAACTGAGCAGCTGAGCAGCACAGATGGTTCTTTCACTTCATGCTGATCCACCTCAGGAGAAGATCTGACACCTCTAATTCTGTAATGGGTTACTGAAGCAAGGACTTTGCTGAGGATTAAACCAGGACAGGCAGCAGCTGGAAGGGTGCCCACAGCCAGCTGCCCTGGCCCTGCCTCTCAGCACAGCTCAGCCCTGCACTCCTCATCCCCCAGGAGGGAAACATCCCATGACAGAGACACCAAAGGCAGCTGCCACCATCAGACACCACACCCTCATAAGATGAGCCAATCTATTTGATTCCTTCAAATGCCAGGAAAAACACTCAAAGCAGAAATCCCAGCACTGCACTGTTATGGAGGTTTAGTGTGTTTCATCAAGAATCCACAGATTTTGTACTTTTAATCAAGTCACTTAGCACTGCACCCTAAGGGGGCCTCCTTTTCAGCCTGATTGAGGCTGTCTGGATGATGCACTCCACCACAGAAAATTGTTACTAAAATACACCCAAATCAGCACCTGCAGGTGTGGCAAGGGCTCTTGGGCTGAGAGGAGAGGAGCAGACTGCCTGCATGGCCAGTGAGCCTGGCATGGGCAGTGTGAGGCCATGGAAAGCACTTCATCCACCAAGATGGGGCCAGCAGGTGACTGAGTCTAACATGTGAGACCTTCTGGTGCTTTGTGAGAGTTGGTAAGAGTTTATACATCCACAGGATTTATATATTCAATAGGTCAACACTGTGGTGTATGAAAAATAAGGACACATTTTACATAATAATTTCTTTCATCATCTGAATCTACATAATACAAAGTAAAAGACCCTCTTCCTGCATTTAGTCAGTACTACAGGTGCTTTAAAGGCAGAGCAGATACTAAATTACTGAACTTACAGAATAATGGGGGAAGGATCCCAGAACTACTGTAAGAATCTGTAATTCTGAGTGACAAAAATCTCAGTAAATTATACCAAAGCATATTTACAAAAAAAACCTGACACATTCTTTTCCCAAGGAAAAGCACTCCCAAAACTTCCTGCCAGCTTTTGCACAAAGGACAGAGCAGACCAGCTGATCAGAGATAAAGAGCTTGTTTGTAAGGAATGTTTTGTTTCTTCCTTGAAAAAGACAAAAGTATGTACAGAGCCCATAGATACAGCTGGATAAATGCCCTGTTCCCAGCTCAGTGTCTGAAGGATTCCATACTCACCACCTCCTCTCAAGGGCTTTTTGTTTGGTTTCGATTTCGGGACTGCTGAGGCAGAGGCACCAGATTCTGCTTCTTGCTGTTCAGAAAAGCACAAAGTTACTCAGTAGGAATTTCAGCTCCCTGAATCACAGGAACACAAGTGTGACCTGAGTGCCATGGCTGTTACCTGGTTCAGTTTCAGGTTTCCTTTGTAGCTCTTTCCTTCCTGCATGCTCTCCCACATCGCGATCTTCTGCCGTCGCCGCTCCTCCTCCAGCTACACAACAAACCCAGGACACAATTTAATCTTAGTTGTGACCTTAAAACTCAGATTTCAGAGCTAACAGGATCCCCAGAAACAGCTACAACAGGCTCATCAAACTGTATTTATCTGAAGCAGTATCTCTGAGATTATGGAAGAATTTACTCTTTTTATACAGCCACATTTTTCCCCCTCCTCAGGATGCACTGACTGAGCCTGCAGCTTATTTTGGCCACTTGATGCTTTAAAAGATTTTGACAGTAAAACAGAACCAAGTGGCAAGTTTCAACCCCAAGTCTATGAAAAGTACTAAGTAAAGAATATTGCAGTAATTTAATGCACAATGTGAAGTTCTACAGAAGAAAGGAGTTTTCTTTTTGTTTTTAATGCCAGCATTACTTGAAGCATCAGCTACAAACTGAGGTCTGAGTGTCTGACTGCAAAAGCAAAACCAGAATTGGTGGGATGATGATCAGAGTTATTACTGTGCTGATCATACCCATTTTCTGCACTGTCCCACTCAGCAATTTGCTATTCCTTGTGATCTCAAGCTGTAATTCAGACCCTTAAACTGCAGCAATGCTAAGCTACATTTCTAACACTTATATTTGCCTTTCAGAGCAGAAAACACACACGTGCCATGGGACAGTTAATTTAAATGCCAGCAAACCCCCTCCAGCCATTCACTGCTCACACAACAAAGCTCCTGCAGGTACACATTTACCTGTGGAAAAATGAACACCAGGCCCACAGTGACCCTGCCCACAATCACAATTTGCTGCTGTCTTTTACAGCAGCAAAGTGCTTGATGACAAATTTATGAGAAAAAGGAAGAAATGCTCTCTGGTTACCTGTCTTTGCTTTTCTTTGTATTTTTCTGCTTGTGCATTCAATTCCTCTTGCATCCTGAGGCGAGCTGCTGCCAAAGCTTCCTGCCTTCTCACCACCACATCAGGCTCTAGGAAACCAGGAAAGAGTTTGCAAAGCTTCTCAAAGTAAATCCTAGATGGTCTCCTCAAAGAACTGTAATAAGGAAAGGCTCACATCTCTCCCTGCAGCTGTTTTGCAGAAAATCACAGCTCAAGTTCAGTTTCCAGCTAATCTTTTATACTAATTTATAATGCTGAATTAAACTTTATCATGTTTTCCTGTTTTAAAGCAATTACTTCAACAGGATTTTAATAAGGACACAAGTGTACCTAACCATAAAATTTAAACCTCACACTTCAAGGACACTGCCTTCTATTTCTGAAGGATTTGTTAGATACAAATTAATTCAGAAATATCACTCAGGCTTTGCAGGGACCATTTTTACCCAGATAACTTCTCTTACGCAGAAGGATGAGGCAACCAGCCCACATTCACTCCTACTCCTTCTGGCAAGGGGTCTGCTGGTGTCAGTGCAGCAGTGGATTTAACAGCCTCCATCAGCAAGAAATCACTTACAAACATGACACACATCTCAAGAGACACCTGCAGGCCTCAGAAAATTCACACTGAGTCACCACTGCTCTTCATGAGTGACCCGTGAAGGTCAAAAGGAAAATTACACCCCCCAAAAAAAGGCAAATGTTGCTCTGTTTTCTTCCAGCAGCTGAAGCATCTCCACATTTGTTTGCCTCAGTTTTTGCTATGATCCAGTGATGAATATCAAAAAGAAATGTCAGTACTTTCAATAATTTCATTTTACAGGCAGTTTGGGCAATTAAACAGCCATTTAATTATAATCACAAAAGAACAGCAAGAGGATAAGAGCACGCAAATAAGATTTTATTGTGGGGCCAACGTGCCCAGGGGGTCAGTGCCAAGCACGCATGGTTTGGCAGGTCCAGGAGCACAGGCTGTGCTTTTCAGCAGGATGTGACTGTGTGAGAGTTACAACCTGTGCCACCCTCCCAAGGATAACACACACTGTCACACCCCAAACGTACACAGCGCTGCCAGAGCAGGAACTGGGAAAGGGCAACTGCAAGGGGGTGATGAACATCAACAAAAAGTGAGTATTTATAGAAGCGTTTCCACCAGGATTTAGATTTGGGCGTTTTGGTTAAGTCTAAAAGTTATTTGGTAGCTGGCCACAGGTGCTGCTGTGCTCCATCCCCTCAGCTGCTGCCCGCCGAGGAGCAGATACCCATCCCCGAGTGATGTCCCACTCCTTTGTTCCCAAACTCGTTGCTTCGGGACGCAGCTTTTCCTTCAGAGCCTTTACAAACACTCCCTGGGCCCAGCCTGTCCCGGTGATCACTCGGGGTCTGCGGGCTCA